AAAAAAAAAAAAAAAAAAAAAATTAGCTGAGCATGGTGGTGCATGCCTGTAGTCCCAGCTGCATGAGAGGCTGAGGCAGGAGGATTGCTTGAGCCCAGGACTTTGAGGCTTCAGTGAGCTATGGCTGCACCACTGCACTGCAGCCTGGGTGACACAGCAAGACCTTGTCTCCGAAAATAATCATAAATACATCAAAAAGAAAGACAGCAGACCAGTGTAAGGGAGTGCTGGGGTGGGAGGAGCGAGGGAGCTCACCATTAAATAAGATGGAAGGAGTGGGCCTCACTGAGGAGGTGGGGTTTGAATGGAGAGCTGGAAGAATGAGGAAGTGAGCTCAGGGGAAACGTGTTCTGGGCAGAGGGAACAGCCAGCACAGAAGCCCTGAGGCATGAGCAGGCCTGGCTTGTTCAAGGAATAGCAAGGAGGCCAGAACCGGAATGAGTGCCTGATGGCAGGGGACCATGGGCCCTTCTAAGGACGTCGGCTTTTGTTCTGTGAGAGATGGATGCTGTGCAAATGTTTCACACAGGGGCGGGACCCAGTCTGACTTTGGTTCTATCAGTATCGCTCTGGCTGCTCTTGGAAGAACAGACTGTGAGGGGTGAAGCTGAAGCATGGGATTGTTTAGGAGGCAACTATAGCAGTCTGGGTGGGAGACGATCGTGGCTGGGCTGGAGAGGAGGGGTCAACAGTCTCGATTCTGACAGCGCTGAGTTCAAATCCGGTCTCAACCATGAGCTCATACTGCTTTACTTTATTTTTGATTTAATTTAATTTATTTGTTTTTTTGAGATGGACTTTCACTCTTGTTGCCCAGGCTGGAGTGCAGTGACCTGATCTCGGCTCACCACAACCTCCGCCTCCCAGATTCAAGTGATTCTCTTGCCTCAGCCTCCCCAGTAGCTGGGATTACAGGCATGCATCACCATGCCCAACCAATTTTATATTTTTAGTAGAGACGGGGTTTCCCCAATGTTGGTCACGCTGGTCTCGAACTCCCAATCTCAGGTGATCCGCCTGCCTCAACCCCCCAAAGTGCTGGGATTGTAGGTGTGAGCCACCATACCCGGCCTACTTTATTTTTGAAATAAAATATTTAATATAAATAAAGATGGGGTCTCGATGTATCGCCCAGGCTGGTCTTGAACTCCTGGCCTCAAGCCATCCTCCCTCCTCGGCCTCCCAAAGAGCTTTGATGACAGGCATGAGCCACGGTGCCCAGAATACTTTACTTTAATCAACCTCAGCTTCCTCACCAGTGCCCGGTTTTGTTTCTGCCAAATGGGGATGATAATAGAGCCTTCCTCCCTGAGAGGTGATGAGGACTAAATGAGATTGTGGAGCCTGGGACAGAGGAGGCGCTCAGAAAACTGGGTGGCTGCTAGGAGGTTGCCTGGTGATTCTGGGGAGGGGGCCTCATGCTGGGTGTTCTGCCTCCCCACCCCCCCACCCCCCCCCCGCACAGGAAAACTCTTCAGGTGAAGATAGTTGATGACGAGGAATATGAGAAAAAGGATAACTTCTTCATTGAGCTGGGCCAGCCCCAGTGGCTTAAGCGAGGGATTTCAGGTGAGGAGTGACCACTGGGCAGTGGGAGAGGTAAGGGGTCCGGGGTTGGGGGACTTTCGGGGGCTCAATTTCGGGCACTCCTTAAAGCTCGTGGATCTGAGCTTTGTTGGGGACTGATCTCACGGTCTGCCTGTCTCTGTCTCTCCCCAGCTCTGCTACTCAGTCAAGGTGAGTGAAGTCACCTCTGGGCTCTTAGTGGGGAGGAGCGACTGGAAGCGGGCCCTGGGGGAGGGTCCCAGCCCCAAAGCTACCCTTCCAGGTTGGGTTTGAGGCAGACTGGAGGTGAGATAAAGGCAGATTCAGTACTGGGAGAGGCTGGGAGCAGGCCTTAGAGTTGGTAGTGCCTGCGTGAGTTTGGGATTACAGTTAGTGTTTTGGAGGTCAAGATTATGTCTGTAACATGGTGAAACCCTGTCTCTACTAAAGATACAAAAATTTGCCAGGTATGATGGCACTTGGAATTCCAACTACTTGGGAGACTGAGGCAGGAGAATTGCCTGAACCCAGGAGGTAGAGGTTGCAGTGAGCCAAGATCACGCCACTGCACTCCAGCCTGGGTAACAGAGCAAGACTCCATCTTAAAAAGAAAAAAAGATTATGTCTGTAGTCAGGGTTGCAAGTCATACAATCAGATCTGGGTTTGTGAGTGGGGTCAGAGAGGATCCAGTTTGGGGTTGATAGGAATGGGCTGGGGTCTGGATTGGAGATTGGTATTAGGACCGTGCTCAGGTGAGAGTCAAGGTGGAGGTTGTTTCCTGGGTTTCTGGTGGGATCAGATCAGAATTGGAGTCAGATTTGGGTCAGAGCTAAAGTTGGACTTTGAGGTGAGTAAGAGAGTTTGAGGAATTTGGGTTAGAATTGGGGCCAAGGTCAGAGATTGGAGTAAGAGTCGGGGCAAGGATCAGTGGCTTGGAGCCAGACAGAGTTGTTTGGAGTCAAGATCAGAATTGGGATCGGAGGTTAGGATTAGGGTTAGACTAAAGATTGTATTTGTTGGAGGAAGCCATGCACGCTGCTGTAACAAACTGATCCACAAATCCCAGGGGCTTAGCACAATAAAAGTTATTTATCGGCTGGGCACACTGGCTCACGCCTGTCATCTCAGCTTTGGGAGGCCAAGGGTGGATCACTTGAGGTCAGGAGTTCAAGACTAGCCTAACCAATGTGGTGAAACCTGATCTCTACTAAAATTACAAAAATTAGCTGGGTGTGGTGGTGGGCACCTGTAATCCCAGCTACTCAGGAGCCTGAGACAGGAGAATCGCCTGATCCTAGAAAGTGGAGGTTGCAGTGAGCCAAGAGTAAGCCACCGCACCCCAGCCTGGGCAACAGAGCAAGACTCCATCTCCAAAGAAAAAAGAAGAGAAAAGACAAAGAAAGGAGGGAGAGAGGGAAGGAAAAAGGAGAAGAGAGGAGAGGAGAGGGGAAGAAAAACAAGTGATTTCTTGCCCAGGCAAAGTTTTTGTTGTTGTTATTTGGGTTTTTTGGGGGTTTTTGTTGTTGTTTGTTTGTTTGAGTTGGAGTTTCACTCTTGTTGCCCAGGCTGGAGTGCAATGGCACGATCTCAGCAACCTCCACTCCCTGGATTCAAGTGATTCTCCTGCCTCAGCCTCCCGAGTAGCTGGGATTACAGGCATCCGCCACCACATGTGGCTAATTTTTTGTATTTTTAGTAGAGACCGGGTTTCACCTTGTTGGCCAGGCAGGTCTTGAACACCTGACCTCAGATGATCCACCTGCCTCGGCCTCCTAAATTGCTGGGATCACAGGCATGAGCCACTGCCCCTGGCCACTCAGGCAAAGTTTTACGAGAGTGTTCCTAGTTGGTACGTGGCTTTCTTCTGCCATGTAGCCATTCCATTTTGTGGCTCCACTGTGCCAGGGAGCTTTGGCGTTGTGGCTGGATTTGCTGCCGGCAAACAGGGCAAGAGAGTTTGGAGGATCACATGGGAGGTTTTCAGGGGCTAAGCCTAGAGGGACTGACCATCATTTCTGCCCACATTCTAGTGTCCATGACTCAGGCCGTGGCCACGCCCAGCTGCAAGGGAGCCAGCTGGGAAACGTAGTTCAGCTCTTTGCCCAGGAGGGAGAGGAAACAGGTTCAGGTGAACACACAGCAGCCTCTGCCACATAGTCAAGCTCCTCATGAGTGATGCTGGCAGAGTTGGGAGTTGGGACTGAGGTTTGGGGTCAGGTGTAGGCCTGGAGTTAGATCTGGACATGGAGTTTGGGTATGGCTTGGGGTTATTGATGCTCCAGGTTATAGAGAATGTTAGAGTTGGGATTAGGGTTTAGGGGTAGGGTTGTGCTGAGGTCAGATCCAGGGTTGAGGGTTGGGGTTTGGGGTCAGTGTTGATGACAGGCTTCCATCTGGGGTCACAGTGAGAGTCAAGCTCAGAGTTAGGGACCAGAATTGGGGTTGGGCTGCTGCTGGGTTGGAGTCAAGGGTCAGCATACTCTGGGGAGAGAAGTGGGCTCAGGGCCAGGATGGAGGTGGTTCCAAGATTTATACCAAGATCGGGTGTCCTTCCCTTTCCTCACCACCTGAGACACACTCCAGGATGCTTCCAGAAATTGGATGTAGAGACCAGACCTCTGCCATCAGGGTGGCGAGGATGATGATAATGTTGGTGATCATAATAAAAATAATAACATGTATTGAATATTTGTTGTGTGCCAGGCACTGTTCTAAGCACTTCACACAAATTAACTCATTTAAATCTCACAACTGGCCGGGCGCGGTGGCTCATGCCAGTAATCCCAGCACTTTGGGAGGCCGAGGTGGGTGGATCACCTGAGGTCGGGAGTTCGAGACCAGCCTGACCAACATGGAGAAACCCCATCTCTACCAAAAATACAAAATTAGCCGGGTGTGGTGGTGCATGCCTGTAATCCCAGCTACTCGGGAGGCTGAGGCAGGAGAATCGCTTGAACCCAGGAGGCAGAGGTTGCCATGAGCTGAGATCATGCCATTGCACTCCAGCCTGGGCAACAAGAGCAAAACTCCGTCTCAAAAAAAAAAAAAAAAAAATCTCACAACCACCGCATGAGGTAGGTACTAATTACTATACCCATTTTACAGATATGAAAACTAAGGCACAGAGGGGCTTAGGCATTGCCTAAGGTCTCACAGCCTCCACCATGTGAACCCCAGACCCCACCAACTAAACAGCATGGACCAGCCCCTGGGAGCTGGGCCCCAGGGTTGAAGGAGACGGGGGTCAGGTGCGAGGCTGGGAGGGGTCACCAAAGAGCTTTCTAGAGGAGAAGAGAGTCTAACTATGGGGACAGGTAGTAAAGGCATGGCAGGCCCAGTTGGGTAGGTCTCCTGGGAGTCTAACCTCCATCCCTCATGCTGTAGGGGATGGGGACAGGAAGCTAACAGCCGAGGAGGAGGAGGCTCGGAGGATAGCAGAGATGGGCAAGCCAGTTCTTGGGGAAAACTGCCGGCTAGAGGTCATCATCGAGGAGTCGTACGATTTTAAGGTGATTTTCTGGGGCGTCATCTTCCTGGAGTCTGGCCTGGGTCATTTCCTTGGGGAGGGTCCGGAAATGAGGGAGCCACCAGCTTCCCAAGGGCAGGCTAAACGGGGGTCCCGCGTCAGCACCACGGACAGCACATGCCTCCGTTTCCTTTGCTTGGCTTCATACCTGGGGCGTGGAAAGTTGAGGACCCCTGGGCACAGGCTATGGCCTCCTGACCCAGGACCCCACGTGGAGCTGCCCTGGTTCGCTCAGGGGCAGTGACCTCTCCCCCACCCTCTCGTCCCCAGAACACGGTGGATAAACTCATCAAGAAAACGAACTTGGCCTTGGTAATTGGGACCCATTCATGGAGGGAGCAGTTTTTAGAGGCAATTACGGTGAGCGCAGGTAAGTGGGGAGGGAGGAGAGAGAAGAGAGGATGGAGAGACAGAGACACAGAGAAAGGGGAGAAATGAATGGAAATGAATGGAGAGACAGGCACAAAGATGAACAGGCCAGGTGCGGTGGCTCATGCCTGGAATCCCGGCGCTTTGGGAGGCTGAGGCAGGAGGTTCGCTTGAGGCCAGGAGTTTGAGGCTGCAGTGAGCTATGATCACGCCCCTGCATTCCAGCCTGGGCAACAGAGCAAGACTCTGTATCTAAAATAAAACTACAAGCATGAGAGACAGACACACAGATATACACAGGGAGAATCATGGAGAAGACATGAGACAGAATGAATGTGCAAACTGAAGAGGGCCAGGGCGAGGGAGGCAGGTAGACGGGACACAGAAAGGGCAGAGACGGGAGAGGTGCTGGTGGGAGCTGCTAGGAGGCTGGGAGGGTTTGGCTCGGGCTGAGCCAGGAGGGGTCTGGGCCTGGGCTTTCTCCCGGCATCAGACGTCAGGAATGTGGGAACAGGTTAAATGGGGTGGCCACCCCAGAGACAGCCTGGGTTCCTCCGTTGCCATGGAGACAGTCACCAGGGTACCCAGCTCTCTCCCACCTGCACGGGTCCCCACCCTCCTTGGCCTCAGACGGGCCCGCACTGCCCCCTTGTGGCTAGGGACACTATGACAGTTGGACCCACAGATGGTCTTGGAAGCCAGCACTGGCCCTTTGTGCTACGGATTGGCGAGACTGAAGCTCAGAGACAGAGGAGGGACTGGCCCCAAGTCCCACAGGGAGTCCAGAGAGGGTCCGAGGTCAGAGCTCAGGGCTTCAGTCTCTCACGTAACATCAGCGTTAAGGCCCCAGCTCTTGGGGACAGAAGGCATACAAGGAATTGTGGTTGCAAAGAAACTGGGCAAGTGGGATCAAAAGAAACCAGGCTTCGGGGATGGAAAAATATGAGACAGCAGACTGCTTTCCCACTAGAAACAAAGTGGCATCTCCCTCTGAAGCCACATTTTTCTGGACATACTTCCGAGGAATCGTCTGGGCCCAACTCTGTGTGAGACATTGCCAGGGATACACAGAAGTGACCAAGACAGTCCTGGCCCTGCCCTCATGGAGCTTACAGTCCAGTGAGGGAGACAGACATGTCACAAGAAAGAGGCAACCCAGAGTAGTCAGGGCTGGGAAGGGAGACCCGGAGGAAAGCCCTGATGGGATTCCTGACCCAGCCTGGAAGTCAGGGAGGGCTTCCTGGAGGAGGTGGCTTCTGAGCTGACTCTTCAAATGGGAAAAGATGTCAGCCAGGGGGAGGGAGAAGACAGGGAGGATGTTCCAGGCAGAGGGAGAGCCAAGCACAGAAGCTCTGGAGTGTGCAAGATTATGGCACCTTTCTTGGTTGGGTGCCTGGTTTCGGGTGGGGAGAAGAGGTACCAGGAAGAGGCTGGAAATTGGAAGGTTCCGGACCACGGTTCTTTGTGGGCCTCAGTAGGGAGCTTGGGTGGGATTTTGAACACACTGGGGAGCCATGGAGGGTTTTGAATGGGGGAGCCCCTGGGGCTAAGAGAGCTTGTAGGAGGAAACGGGGGAGGGTGGATGGGGTGTGGGTAGGGGGTGGAGAAACTAGCAGAAGACGGGTGTACCCCAAGAACAGTGGGGCGACAGCAAGGGGCTTTTTGAGCTTCAGAACATTCCCTCTGGGGACTCAGCGGAGACGGAGGATGAGGTGGAACTGAACAAGGCCTGAGGTGATGGCTGTGGGTTTTAAAAACCGGGTGGTTAGATCAGGTGATTAGATCGGGGTGGAGGAAGAATGACAGCCATAACCCAAGTAGTAACAGTGATAATAATCTGATGATGACAATCGTGGCCCTATCATGTCTTTTTTTTTTTCCTTAATGTAATCTCACTCTGTTGCCCAGACTGGAGTGCAGTGGCGTGATCTCGGCTCACTGCAGCCTCCTCTTCCTGGATTCAAGCGATTCTCCTGCCTCAGCCTCCCGAGTAGCTAGGATGACAGGCACCCGCTACCACGCCCAGCTCAGTTTTGAATTTTTAGTAGAGATGGGGTTTCATCATGTTGGCCACGCTGATCTCAAACTCCTGACCTCAAGTGATCTGCCCACCTCGGCCTCCCAAAGTGCTGGGATTACAGGCGTGAGCCACTGTGCCCAGCTGACCCTATCATGTCCTGAGTGCCAGGCATGGTTGGAAATGTGTTTCCTCTGTGAACTCATTTAATTAATGTATCCTCAGGGTCTGTGTCGGCGCTTGCTCACGTCGCACTTTGCCCAGCACGTGCCTTTTGGTTCTCTGCTGTGCAAGCACAGAGCTGTTGGAGGGATGAGGGAGAGGGGCAGTTCTCGCTCCCTTAGGGGACGAGTCGGGTCCCACCCTGCACGTAGAGGTGCTTTTGTATTTCCTTTACCTCCCTTCCTACTGTAATCTTTCTGGCTGGAGTTGGCATGGAGCATTTCTGAATTTCCCCCAGGCACCAAAAAAGGCCTTCAGTAATGACACCCGAAACAATAGTGATAACACGAGGTGTCCAAGTTGCCGTTGACAGCACTTTGCATGAACCGACTCATTCGGTCATCACAGGCTTCCCGTAAAGCAGGTCTAATTATTCATCACAGCTAGGCACCTGGAAGCCCAGAGAGGTGAGGACACCAATTCAGGATCCAGGGTTGGACACCAGAGAGGTGACTTCAGAGTGACAGACACAACCGCAAGCCTCCCTGTAGAGGGGAGTGGCTGGGTTGGCAAGCTGAGGCCAGAGTCCACAGAATGCCCAGCCTGGGCGTGTGGGCCTGGGTTTGAATGCAGTGCAGAACCAGGGAAGGATTTGGAGCAGGGCAGGCAGAAGCCCAGATTGGCATAGTGATGTGATCATAGCAGCCCCCTCCGTCCCTAGGAGCGTGGCCTCCCTGCTCTGACCGCGGCCACGTCTTACATCATCTAGGGAAGCGTCAGCAGTGACTGCTCAGGAGTCACGTTCATTCTTATCGGTGTCCTTCCAGATGTAATGCGTGGCACATTCCAGTGTGGCCATTCACTCTCGTTCATGGCTTATGCTAACCAGCGTAGGGTAAGGTAAATGAAACATTGCAATAGGGCTTTCAGGTTACAGAAGCCACCGCAGGTCGGCTGGGCGCGGTACCTCATGCCTGTAATCCCAACACTTTGCAAGGCTTAGGAGGGCACATCGCTTGAGGCCAGGAGTTCGAGACCAGCCTGGCCAACATGGAGAAACCCCATCTCTACTAAAAATACAAAAGAAAATCAGCCAGGTGGGGTAGTGCACACCTGTGATCCCAGCTACTCAGTAGGCTGAGGCATGAGACTCACTTGAACCGGGAGGCGGAGGTTGCAGTAAGCTGAGATCATACAACCGCCTGGGTGATGGAGTCAGCCTCTGTCTCAGAAAAAAAAAAAAAAAAGTCACTGCAGGTCAAATTAGGTCACAACAGGTGATACAGCCCTAAGCATGAGGTATCCTTTACAAAGCTCAGAAAACACATCTGTAACCCAATGCCCATATTAGGAAAGGCAGGGCTTTCCAGAAACCCTGTTATCTCCTTGCCAGGCTGGGTCAGATGGCCACTCACGGGAGGAATTCTGGCAAAACAAGCATTTAGCTGGGGACATGGCAACTGCCAGCTGCAAGGGATTCTGGGAAAGTGAATACTGTATTTTTACCTGAGGCCATAGCTGCTGCTGGCCTCAAGGGTTTCTGGGAAAGTGATTAATTTTGGCTGGGTACATGGCCCTCTAGCTGCAAGGGATTCTGGGAAAGTGAGTACATTTAGTAGAGCCTGTGGCTCTGGTTAGCTGCAGTGAATCTGAGGAAGTGACTATTTCTAGTTGTGGACGTGGCTTTCAGTAGTTGTGAAGGCCTCTGGGAAAAGGAATATTTTTAGCCAGGGGTATGGCTGTCATTGGCAGCAAAGGGTCCTGGGAAAGTGGATATTTCTAGCTGGGCCTCTAGCTTCAAGGGGTTCTGGGAAAGTAGCTGCTTTCAGCTGTTGACTTGGCCACATTTATGTGCAAGCAGTTCTGGGAAGGTAAATAGTTTTCACCTTGGCCCATTAATGCTCCTAGCTTCAAGGGATTCTGGGAAAGTAATGGTTTTTAGCTGCTGACTTGCCACATTTAGGTGCAAGGGATTCTGGGAAAGTAAATATTTTTCACGTGGGCTCATTCATGCTGCTAGCTTAAAAGGATGCCGGGAAAGTAACTGTTTTTAGCTGCTGACATGGCCAGACTTAGGCGCAAGGGATTCTGGGAAAGTAACTATTTTTCACCTGGGCCCATTCAGGCTCCTAGCTTCAAGGGATTCTGGGAAAGTAACTGTTTTCAGCTGTTGCCTTGGCCACATTTAGGCGCAAGGGATTTTGGGAAATCAGTTCATTCTGCAGGACTTGCTGTCAGGAAGTTACAGGCCTCTGTAGGCAAGGAAGGGAGTCTGGGTGTGTGCCCCAGCTGGGTCGTGTGCCCACAGGAGACGAGGAGGAGGAGGAGGACGGGTCCCGGGAGGAGCGGCTGCCGTCCTGCTTTGACTACGTGATGCACTTCCTGACGGTGTTCTGGAAGGTGCTCTTCGCCTGCGTGCCCCCCACTGAGTACTGCCACGGCTGGGCCTGCTTTGGCGTCTCCATCCTGGTCATCGGCCTGCTCACCGCCCTCATTGGGGACCTCGCTTCCCACTTCGGCTGCACCGTTGGCCTCAAGGACTCTGTCAACGCTGTTGTCTTCGTGGCCCTGGGCACCTCCATCCCTGGTAACACCCCGGGAGACTGCGGTGGGGCAGGCTGGGTGGGGTAGGATCTCAGATGAGCCAGGCAGGGGCAACACAGGATCCTGCCGAAAGGAGGTGGGAGGAGTCACACAGCGCCCATGTGGTGGCCTCAGAGAAGTACGGAGGTGGGGCAGGGTAGAAGCTACCCAGCCAGTCCCTAGATCCAAGATGTGGATAGAATCCTCCCCAAAAGCACCCAGGTGGAAGGTCCCATAAAACAAAGGTGGCGGGAAACACTGGGAACCTGACAATGGATTTCTTTTTTTTTTTTTTTTTTTT